AAATCTCCAACAACTGGAGGTGAAAATACTATTTCTGCTGTAGTTACCTTCCTCTTAATTCACAATCAAGATGTCAAAAACCTCTGGGAATTAGAAGCCATTGGCATTACAGATCCCTTTGAATTCAAATCTAGAAGTGAAAATAATAAGATCGTAAACAATCATTTTATGCCAAATTTAAGAAAAGATGATAAGGGAAGATATGAAGTGAAATTGTCATGGGTACATGACAAAAATCTTCCTGAGTATAAAGGTATAGTTGAAAGAAGACTGGAAAAAACAACAACTAAATTAAAAATGGAAGGTAACCGTGATGCCTTTAATAATGTGTTCGAGAAATTGTTAAAAAGAATATATAATTGAAAAGGTAACACTTGAAGAACTATCTAAATCTGGTTGCCACTTGCCACATAGAGGGATTTTCAAATAGAATTCAACAGCCAAGGTTAGAGCAATTTTCAACGCATTAAATAGGAAGAAAGGATTTCTTTCACTTAATGATTGTCTTGAAAAAGGACATAAAAATTTAGAATTGATGCCGTCATTGTTAACTGGCATAAAACATCAATAGGCCTTCTTACAGATAAGCATTGCCGAAAAAGATCGGGTTTATCTTCGATTTATGTGGTGGAAGGATAGTGAGCGTAATGAAATTCGAGGTTTTAGGCACCGCAGAGTAGTTTTCGGAGTTATGTGCAGTACGTTTATTCTTGGAGCAGTCATTCGTCATCATCTAGAGAGAATACATGAATAGAACGTAAAGAAATTGCAGAAAAGTCGTTTTATGTTGAAAGTCGTTTTATGTTATGCAGAAAAGTCGTTTATGAGATCATTTTATGTTGATAACTGCGTCACTTCATTGGAAGCAGAAACGGAACATTTTATATAAGTCTCTATACAGTTACTGCTAATGCAAAATGCTACATTTGAATTGAAAAGCTGGGAGTTTACCAATTTTAATATATAAACTCCAGAACTAGAAATATCTAAAGTCTTAGGAGTGCTGCGGAATTGAAGAACTGACACTTTATCTTGTGAGGTTGATTTAAGAACTGAAATTATTGAATCATTAACTCGAAGAATGCTACCTTCTATTGCACAAAGAGTTTTTGATCCGATTGGGTTTTGTTACCCTGTAACATTGTATCCAAAATTACTTCTTCGAGAATGCTGGAAATCAAAACTTGGTTGGGATGATGAAGTATCAAAAGATGTAATTGATAAGTTTAAGAAGTGGTTTAAGGATATGCCAAGATATATGTCAACAGAAAACTGTATATCCATCAGTTTGCATACATTCTGTGATGCATCTAAATTATCTTTTTTAACTGTAATTTTCTTCAGAAGTAAAAGTTAAAATCAAGTTTCAGTGCAACTGGTGCTTGCTAAATCGAGAATCGCACCACTCAAAGCAATGTCAATTCCTAGACTAGAGTTAATGGCATGTACAATAGGCGTACGTCTTTCTGATATGGTGAAAAAGGCTTTAAGAGTATCCAAGATATTGAAAAATGTTATTGGATAGATTCACTTTCAGTGTTGTATTGGATAAGTCATGATGATACATGGACTGTGCTTTTAAAAAAATAAGTTAAGGAGATAAGAAATCTCTCAGATCGAACAAAGTGACGACATGTACCAGGCACTGAGAATCCTGCTGACTTACCATCAATAGGTCGTTCTGCGAAGAAACTAATAAAATCACAATGGTGGGAGGGTCTTCAGTGACTGAAGTTATCGGGAAAAGAATGGCCTCATTATACCCCAAATGATGACGAAGAGAGCGTTGACACGGGAAGGCGCAAGATAGTTCTAACAGCATTGAATTATGTCTTCAAGAGTTGTTAGCTACTTTTCGAAGTACACGAAAATTTTAAGAATGATCGGATGGATGTACAGGTTTGTAGAAAATTCCCGAAAGAAAAGAGAGTATGGAGAGTTTAAAGTTCATGAGCTAGAAAAAGAAGAAAATTTATAGTAATGCTCATACAACTTGATTCCTTTTCATCTGAAAATATTAAAAATTTAAATTCCATTAGTGAGTTTAAGGATGAAGGAATTTTGCGATTCATGGCAAAATTAACAAAGAGGAAAGATTTAGAAAATTTTAAGTATCCAATTTTATTGCCAAGTACACATAAGTTAGTTTAACTACTAATTCGCATTAGTTAAACTCCATCCTCATTTGATTTTACATCATGCTGGACTTCATATGCTCTTAACCAATCTTCGAGAGAAATTTTGGATTATAAACAGTAGAAAAACAATAATAGCAGCTATTTCTAAATGCACTGTTTGCAGAAGACACAGTGCAAAAGCAATGAGAACAGTTTCTGTGCCACTTCCAGAAGACAGAATTAGAGAAGCATCCATCTTTAAAATTGTTGGAATAGACTTAGCAGGTATTCTTATTTTTAAGGATGGAACAAAAGCTTGGTTTGCTTTGTATACATGCGCTGTATTCAGAGCTATTCATCTGGAACTGCTAACTTCTCTATCTACGAATTGCTTCCTCTAAAGTTTACGAAGATTTATTGCCAGACGTGGACGTTCTTAAGTAATGTTTAGTAATAATGGGATGAACTTCACAGGAGCTAATAATCTTTTTAATGCTATTGACTACAAAATGATTGAAGGTGAAGCAAGTAATAAAAAAATTACATTGAAATTTAATCCACCCTCAGCTTGCTGGCGAGGTGGTTTCTGGTGACCTTTGATCGAAATGATTAAGAAAATGCTAAGAAGACTCTTTAAGAATGCTTCACTAACTTAAGAGAATGCTTAGCTTACTTTGTGAATGTGAAACTATAGTTAATTCGAGACCATTAACTTATGTATCCGAAGATTCAGATGAGTTAAAACCAATTACTCCTGCAATGTTCTTGCAAGAAATTCCAGAAGTTGGTGTGCCAGATCTTGACCATACAGACAAAATAAATTTAACTAAAAGGTTACGGTACTAGCAGAGACTTCGGAAAGAGTTGAGAAAACATTTTAGAGTAGACTGTCTAGGAAATCTCATGTTCAAGCAAACAAATAAGAAGTCATCTTGAATTAAAAGTTAATCAATATGAATTAAAAGTTAGGGACATAGTTTTAGTCGAAAACGAAGATAAGAAGCGAGTATTTTGGCCTTTGGGGACGAATAGTCAAATTGAGACAATAACTTCAGACTGGTTAAAGTTAAGGAATCGAATGGAGAGATTCTAAGACCAATTCAACGCTTAAGCACTTTGAACTTTAAAATATACTTTAAAGTAAATTTTAAAATAGACTTTTAAGTGAACTTTAAAATAGACACTTAAGCGACCTTTAAAATGGACTTTTGGGTTAAATTTTAGTTTAATTAAATATTTCTTTTAATAAAAATCCTGTTATAAAAAAGTGGGAGTATATTAAGTATAGCATTGTTCATATACATTCAACAAGTATAATATTATTTTCCCTTTCGTTTTGCTTTGAGTGGCAACAGTTGTAAAAGGTTATAATTTTTTTTATAGAATAAACTTTTTTTGTTGCCATTGACTTTTTTGTTGTTAAATTTTGTACAGAGATTATTTAGGTAGAAAGGAGTTTATGAACGGACAAAATGGTGAACATTTACGGTCATATCTAACACCTACAGATTCTTCATTGTTTAATAATAAGAGATAAAAGAAAAAAAAAGTAACCTCCACTTAAATGATAATTGCGAATTAATACTTTAGCACTGGATATGTTTTAAGAATTATGTATATAAATTATATATATATATATAATTATATATATGAATTACTCTATAAATATAAATTCCAATTTAAAAAATATGTAATATGATGTTTTAATTGTGTATTGGTTATTTGTGTTCTGTTTCGTTTCAGGAACATTTTTGTTAATTAAAATACTGGTGAAAATCTTAGATAGCGGATTTTTAATTCAAATCCCCAAAATACAAAAGTTAAGCGAATTTTGATAAATTCCGCCGCGACCTTCCTGCAAATAGTCCCCCCCCCTTTTGCGATAAAACTACTACCCTATATATACATATATAGTACAGAGCTACAAATTATTGCTAATACCTATGGAACATTTTGAGAATTACTGATAAATATTTTCAAAAATGTGATACAAAACTGATGACAGGAGTTCTACTAAGAAAAAACTCATATTTATAACGCATTATTACGATAAATTCCTCTCACTGTCATCTATCAAAGAAAATCTTCAAACAACCAGGAAAAGAATATTATTATATTTTTGAATTTTTTATTTTAAGGCCGTTTCATATGCAATCTAAAATACATAATACGTTACTAAATTTATAATAAAAATTATAAATTCGCATAGTTTTAAGAAAACTAAAATTCTCAATTTAAATATTATTTTTACTTAAAAAAAGTGCAAAAATTAAGCATTATTAAGATTGTAAATATTTTTAACTTCTTCATAAACTAAATTATTGAATGGATGCTATAAATAAATAACTACTGATAATACGGTTAACGTAATTAGATCCTCTTGAGATTAATTTTTATAATGATGGTTTAAAAAATTTTAAAGCAGAGAGCTACAGCTGATGGTAGGTGAAAAAGCAAAGAAAAAAATCAAATCTTACTTTTTTTAAACTTTTTTAACATTATCTTATATGATATTTATAGATATCATATAAGGTATTATTTATATGATATAGAAAATATTTTATAGGATTTATAAGTCTATTCAAGTAATCTTCATGATTCTTAACAGTTTCAAATATTTAATTTTGAGATACTAAAATCTTTAGAATTTCTGTTGCATTTATATTAAAATTTAGAAAAACCTTCAGTGCTTCTATTTAAATGTTCCTCAAAATAGTCTAATTTTATTTTGTCTAAAGCATCCAATTCCATTTTGAATAATTTCTATAATATTGTATGCAGTCACACCGAATCCTCTTTTTAAAAACGAAAGGAAATACTTTTTATCTTGTGGTTACTAATAATAACACAAAATATTTAATTCTTGTCATTATCATCACCCACCTGTCTATTTTTTTCGTTTTTCAGCTCAACTGCAGCAAAACACTGTAGAATAAAAACAATTAGCAGGAAATTGCGATGATGGATATGTTCTTTCATGTCTTCCCTTCCAAAAAATATAAATAAATAAACTTTCAAATCACTCGAATCATTGAAACGGAGAACCACAAAAACACAAAGTTTCTGCTCAGATGAAAAACTATCCGACCGTCGAAAAGAGCGGCTATCGTCTGCTCTACAGAAGAGTCGGAGAAGAAGTGAATGTTGCCAAACTGCACGAGGAAGAGGGGAAAAGATATTGACGGTGATGGTGATGAAAAAAAAAAAAAAAAAAAAAAATGTAATAATAAAAGAAGCGAAATGAACGGTTCTTTTTTCTTGGTGAGTTACGACATGACGGGAATAAAAAAATTCCCTATGCTTATCAACAGAAATCCCTATTAATTTTAATCATTAGAAATACTGGCTTCATTTAAAATTTTATTTAATGGAAATTGATAGCACCAATAAATTTAAAAAGCAAAGAAAGTACTCAGCGTTAAGAACAAAGTTTCATATAACCATTTATGTTTATTCTAAGGCTCAAGAACAGATAAAATTGAGACCCAAGACTCATGATATCAGAAGACAGCGGTTTTCAACTTTTGTAAATTCACGAAATCTCTTAAATTTTTACTAAAAATAAATTTTTACTGGAATCCGTAAAACCAACTTTTTTTAGATAAGCATCCTCATCAAAATAAATGTTAAAATTGAATTCAATAGACTGAGGCTCACATAGTTTTCGAACATTATTACTTTTGAAATTTATTTGCTTAGATTGAAAGGTTTCAGATTTTAACTTACGTCCAAAGGGGCATTTTTTTAGCATTTTGTGTGTTACCTTTATTTATTAAATATCATGTTCTTCACACTTAAACCATAGAATTTAGTTCAACAGCAATATCGCAAAATAATTTAAAATGAGCATATATTTAGAATTTCCAATACAAAGCCTCTGGCGCTAGAGTTTTTTTTTTTTTTTTTTGTTACAGTATTGCCATTGTTTGCCTTTGAAATTGTTTAGTTTGATAATAAAAATTCGTTGAAGTGTTACAAAATATGAAATCGATAATAAAATAAATTTCAAATTCAAATTAGGGCTTCTACATGCCCATATTCTATGGAAGATTATGTTATTCAACAAATTTTGATGGCTCTAGTACTGTCGTTTTATCACAATGCGGGAAACATACATACATTCATGCAGATTCTTCATTATTTAATTTCTTTAAATATAATACAAGGCGATAATAGTTAGTGGCAACGATTCGAAAAGTGAAACAACGCTTATCGTCATGCGAAAACGAAATTAATAGTCCTTCTGGGCAAATGGCCCCTTTGGATTAATAATAAAAACCATTGAAACTAATATTGCTTAGACCTTGCACTAAATAATGACTTCAAAATTTTTTCCAATATATTATTTTTCTCTATTTTAAGCCTTGTTTATTGCAAACTAAATATCATCAAAATACTCCTTGTAATGAAATAATTTAATTAAAAAGTTCTAATCAGTATTTCACATAAAAATTCTGAACTTCTAAAGTTTTATTGAGATATTTTGACAGATTACATTCCTTATCCTATTTTTTTTAATAAAATCACATTACAATTATTATTCTTCATTTGGAAATTATTAGTTTTTAGCAAAATATATTAAAAGTTTCATATCTGAATTGAATATACCAAGACTCTAGAAACTAACGAGAGGTCCTGCTAGAAATTTCATTATTTATCATTTTGAAGATACTAAAAATGTTCAAAACATCCTAAAAATTTTGATTTAAAACGTTCAACTATTTTTGATGTTATAAAATGATGAAAATTGCATGGAACAGTTGAAAATGCATTACAGTCTAGAGCATATTTTTAAGCTAACACTAAGGAACCGGAGCTTTATCCTATCAAAAATCAAAAACTATGGGAGTACATCTTTCAGCGGATTAGAAAATGGTTTGCAATACAAGTTAATTCTGGAACTCTTAGAAGAGTCACCAGGGAACAAGAATAAAGTGGATGATCAGCAAAAAAGAAAATTGTATCTCTCCTTAGCTGTTAAAGGGTGTGTTTTTTACTTAGCAAGGAAAGGCACTTTCATTTACTCATTTATTTATTTTACAATTCATCTCCACTCTAGTCAGATAGAAAGACGGATTAGCTTTCTTTCCAGCTAATTAACATGTCAACAAACAACTCGCCCAATCATACCGCGGATTGTTGGTTGCAGATTAAAGAGAAAATGAGACAATGTTTGCCCAGCTGTAGTTTCAATCTTAGCATGTTCTTCGGTATAATGAGAAGGAATCTGTATTGTAATCAAGAAAAGAAGAAGAAAGGTAATCTGACATTCGTAAAATCACCGTTATCAAACAATTTTCGCGCTAGAACAATGTTATATTTACCGGCGAGTCAAAATTTAATCTGGTTGGACCCGATGGACGAATTTCTCCGTGGCAAAAGTCGAAAGAAGAGTTGAATATGAAAAAACACCTATTGCCTACTTTTAATATATGCTATAAAGTACGTGTTACTCGCGTAACGTATAGAATAATTACCTACCTTTCAAGAAACCATCAGATTATTTATTTGGGACAACTATCTTAGTCGATAATTTTTTATTTTGCCATAGTGCTGGCTCTAGAAATCATATCTAAGTACGGTTATAACTAATTCGTTTGCTAATTTAGTGGCATCTAACTATTAGGAAGGAGAAAAAATAGTAATCAAATCACGGTCTCCAAAACCAAGGAATAGATCAGTAGACTGATTTTTTTTTTTCACATTCATCAAACTGGTCAATACAGATTCCTTCTCATTATACCGAAGAACATGCTAAGATTGAAACTACAGCTGGGCAAACGTTGTCTCATTTTCTCTTTAATCTGCAACCAATAATCCGCGGTATGATTGGGCGAGTTGTTTGTTGACATGTTAATTAGCTGGAAAGAAAGCTAATCCGTCTTTCTATCTGACTAGAGTGGAGATAAATTGTAAAATAAATAAATGAGTAAATGAAAGTGCCTTTCCTTGCTAAGTAAAAAACACACCCTTTAACAGCTAAGGAGAGATACAATTTTCTTTCTCCTCCCAAATTTCCTTATACGAGGTACAGAAAAGAAGTTGTAACATTTCTAAGCAACCTTTCCTAAGAAAAAAAAAGGAATTGTGAATATTGAGAACCATATTGATTCCATAATTAAGTTCGAAATGTTGGATAAGATTTCATAATAGCGATTCAATTTCATAGCCACAGATTAACTGCAATCAAACTGCTGAAGAATGCTATATCTTGTTTGACCTGATAATGAACTTATGCCCCTAAAGTTAATTTTCCTAAGAAAAAGTCAATTTAATTTTACTGTAAGTGATAAATAGAGCACTAGTTAAATCATGGAAGAAATATTTAAAAGAAATCTGAAAGGGTTCAGATTTTGACAGTCCCCCAAAAATGATCATTTAAAATTTAATGTCGTTTATCGGCAGACATTATCAACAGAGATAGCTATGATACATTTTATAGGATACTAGATTAATATATTATGGGGTCTTATTTTATTTTCCTAACAGTTAATTTTATTTTGGATACAGCCTTTCCTTTAAATCCTCATTTTCTTACCTACTCTTTCCTGCCAGAATGAGTTTTAAATTCACGCCTTGTGCGAAGAAGGATGGAAACTATTATTTATGCTGAGCTACTTCAGACACAACTCATTCTGCTTGTGTACGCCACGTTAATGCTAACAGTTAAAACCTGCTATTTTACGGCCGTAGATATAGATATTACGGCCAATTGTCTGTTAATCTACTAAAATTAGCCAAAGATATTAGCCAAAGACTCAAAGGTGATATTAGCCAAAGACTCACTACGCGTTAAATATCTCTGTGCAGCTTCGGCTGATTATACGACTTAGAATTAGTTAAATTTTACGTTTTCTGCTCTTAAGTGAAAACCATAAGTGCTGGTTATTTGTACGCCCAAGTGGGGATCATCTGTGAATATATTTGAATTAAAATAAATGTGTTACTTTAACCCTCTTTCTGTTGTTACTAACCCAGTAGAACTTCGAGAAAAGTCGCTTTTCAATTCTAGTAGATTCTTGCAATCAAGTAACTTTAATTTAGCTAGACCACTAATATCCATCAATAAGCCCACTGCATTATGACCAGCCCCATCTATAACAATGGGTTCGCCCAGGAACAAAATCGCTGAGTGTGCGCAGCTGATATTGGAGTATATAAAGCGGCAAGCATATCCTTTATTATATTTGTTTCAACTTATATAGCGTACTGGAAAAATATGATTTTTATGATACTGCACTTGAATATTTTATATATAGCAAATTTTAATGATTTTTGCATACCCATTTCAGCAGCTAATCAGAAGACTTCGAATGATCACTGATGTGATTTAACTATGCCTGTTTCTGATGAACTCCCTGCTAAATTTTGCTTTATAATTGCTTATGTATTTTATGTAAATAGCCTTTCTTATTGTGACAAAAAAATGTAATTTTGATGACTCTAAGCACTGAATATTTGTGAAATGCACACTGTTCGGAACCTTAGACCATTATCTCTCCAGCCTAACAGATGCCTTTACAGCTTAACGTGACAAAGTGGCCACGCTCTTTTCCACTTTACATCTTCTCCGGTCACACTCTGGCATTCCTATACTTGCAGCGTCTCTAATCAAGTCAAGACAGCAGATTGCTATCTGCAAGCTAAACACGGCAATACCGAGAAAATTGAAAAGAAAATCTTTCTAAACATAGCGCGATTAGCGACATAATGGGAAAAGCAGCTGATTTATCAGACTTCAGTAAAGGTCAAATCGTTATGGCTCGGCTACTGGGAACATCAATATCAGAAACGGCGCGTTTAGTGGACTGTTCACGTGCAGTCGTTGAAGGCACATACGCCGCCAGCAGTATGTCGTCGATGACGCATTGATTCCAGAAGACAATGAAGAGTGCTACGTATTGTTCGCCGTGACTGAAGAGCTACAACACCTGAAATCCGTACCAGCTACAACAGTGGCGACTCAGAAAGTGCTTCTCAACTCAGCCGGAAGCCGAAGCATGTCCATACACTGTCCGCACGTCATCGCCAGCTGCGTTTACAGTGGGCCAAAAAACATCGGAATTGGACATTAGAAGAATGGAAGAAAGTTGCGAATGGTCCGACGAATTGCGTTTTTTGGTCCACCACATCGACGGGCGTGTGCATACGCCGATTGACAAACAAAACCCTGGCTCAAGGATGCACAGTTGGATGGAGACAAGCCGGTGGTGGGGATATTATGGTGTGGGCAATGTTTCTATGAATCACATTAGAAACCATAATCTCAATAAAACAATCCCTGACGTCTGTGCGCTAGGTGAA